CCCAAAACCCACCAACCCCTCCCCCCTTAAAAAAACAAAAACCCCAGCCACAGAAATGCTGACGCGCACAGGCCACAGGGCAATAGTACCGACCCTTTAGTCTTGGTTCAGGAACCGGGACAAAAGGCCCTTACGAACCGGGACAATAGGCCATTTTTCTACTAGTGACACCAGCACACATCACACTATCACGTTAGTCAAAAAATAGAACAACCATAGCTATTCAGAACAGTAATATCTGAACCTCACCTTCTTGGCGCTAGGATCCCTCTTCTTCTTTGCAGGGGCATCCTCTGGTCCAGTGTTCGGCCACAACTACGGCATGCCCTTCAAGTGACCCCCCTGAGTGGTTCTCTCCCGCCGGCATGCCGCCTATCCACTGCCCACCTACAATTTTGTTAGCCTTAGGTCCAGGTAAAATGAACATGCCAAATCCCTTTGAATTCAGTATTGGTCCAGTGTGCAGCTTCTGACGGATGCCGCGAATTGAGCGACCGACTACCGAGCTCAACCGCAGATACTGGACGCGCGAAGTTGGAGAGGAGTAAACCTGGGGAGCTGGCATTATATACTAATCTGCGAAATTCCAATGATGCCCTTAGCGGGAGACCAAAATCACAGCCGATGGCACGATTTCTCTACCTTGGAAGGCCACACGACCACAGTTTGTGACAGAAGGGGCCCACCCGGTCTGGACCCCGATGTCTTCGAGATTTAGGACGGTAGAACGGGTGGAAGACGACGGGCACTTCATTGATTGTCACATCAGACTTGATCCAACGGATAGGATCGTCCATCAAAAAATCCGACGACCAGAATTTATTTGGACACCTAATCCGATGGCTGAAAATCGTGACGCCCTGAGAAGCCTCCGTTTCTTCCCAGGATCTAGTAATAGGATGGGATTAACCGCTCCCATCGCACGAACTCTCTCTGCCCCTCTTTCGACGCCTCCACCGGCCCGCCCCTATCACCCTCCCGGTGCCTCTCCTGCATCTCCCCGTGTGGGCACCTCCTACCCCCATCTCAGGCGGGAAGCGGAGACCTCTCCCGCTCCCACTATCATTCCGGCGGTCATAGCCACCACCGCCGCCGTCGTCTCAAACCTGTCAACACTCCCCTGTACTCCCTCCGCACCCGCCTCCGGACGGCCTCCTCGCGAACCCTGAAACCCAGGCCACGTCGGAGATCCACGAGGCGGAGGAGCTGCGGCTGGAGGCGGAGTCCGCTCTGGAATGGGGCTGCGTGTGCGCGCGGCTGCCCAACTTCGCCGCCACCGACGCGGGCGGCGCTGCTCGAACAGGCCGCCGCCGATGCGGTGCCCAGTGGCGTTGGCGAGTGTGATAGGTCGTCGTCGCGGCCACCCGTGGCCGGTTTCTTGCCGTGCGGGAGATACGCGTACGCAAAATCCCGTGTGTGTACGATTGCCCCTGTTCGGACTGGTAGAGGACACCACATGAGGATGAACTGGTGAGAACTTGAATTTGCGCACAATCATATATTTATGCTAATATATATCGGTTGATTTCTGTGAGCAATTATGTGCACGTAATACTTTTTTTTTGAACGAAGGCTCCAGAAGAGCCCGGCTTTGAATTAACAAAGCCATCAACCGGCCAGGATTACAGAGATTACAACCACGAACCACACAAAGAAAAGGAAAAAAAACACAGCAAAGATACAAAGGCGCTGGAGACAGCTCACATAGCACACAACCAGCTATACCAGATCAACATGAAGCTAATAGCTAGGAGATGCTAGGGACCTCTTGCACACACACAACCAAGGGGAAGGCAGCTGCCAGCTCAGGGCAAGGAAACGACGACGATGAGAGGCAAGCCATTGCCAGAACACCAGGGGCTTGTGGAGAACACAATCAGACAGTGCCATCGTCAAAGAAGGCCCCTGCCTCCTCGCCTGGCTCGAAAGGCGCCGCACCGTTGAGCGATGGACTAGTTCACCCTAGAACCTATCTGAATGGCACCCAAGGAAGCCACAGGAGCGGAACCAGGCGTTCCTCACATGTCGACGGCGACTCAACTAGAGCCAAGCAGCCCCAAAACCGAAGATCGGGCGAGAAAGAGGGTGAGCTGCCAGGATGAAGGGCAACAGCAAGGGCCAAGACCAAAACACAGAAGCTCGACACTCTCGGCGAGCTGGAGGGAAAACCACCGGAGGAGGGGAACCCTATCCCCTCCCTTCCTGGAGATCCACGGCACCGGACGCCCTCAAAGCCGCACGAAGAGCACCACCATAACAGAACCCCGCACCAGGGAAGGCATGGCTGCCGCTGGAGACTTGCTGTCGCCGCCGCCGCACACCAAACCGCACCACACCGAAGCCCGCCGCCCCACTTGTTCCCAAAAACGGCGTCTTCAAGAAGATTACGGCGCCTGGGGCGTCGCCGCCGTCCAACAAAGTTTGGGTTTTCACCCAGGAAGCAAGGGGGCATGGGATGGGGAGGACAGGACCTGACCGGCGCCTCCAAGGAGGTGAGCGGCGCCCACGGGCGTCGCCGCGGTCGCGCCAGCAAGGCTGGCTAGGGGTTTCTCCCGGTCCTGGAACCCCTCCATCCGCTCCCACCCGCCGAAACCAGCCCCCCATGTCGTAGCAGATCGGATCTGGAGGGAGGGAGGAGCACGCCGCTGGAGAGGTGGTGTGGAGGCGGCCAGATCTGACACCGCGGAAGCCGGAGCCGACGCCGAGCCCAGACCCGCATCCTCCGGAGATCTCACCGTCCTCACGGTCAAGACAGCCGGCCCACGCCCGCGCCACCAGGAGCCAAAGGGCTGGAGGCGCCACACCAGACGGGCCGCCGCCCCAGATCCCGCAGCCCCCCGCGCGCGAGGCGAGGCAGCGAGGACCCCGCCGCCACCATCATCAGCAGCACACCAAGAAGGCCCGGCGGCTGCCTCTGGTGGCGGCGAGGGGAGATCGAGGAGGAGGGAGGTGCGGCGGCGGGATTCGGATTCGCCCCTCGAGTCGCCCGAGCGGGCGACGCGAGGGAGGGGAGGGGAAGGGGTTGCCCCGACTCCCTTTCCTTCTTACTGTATGTGCACGTAATACTTTGAATCTGAATGTCGTCAGCAAAGCTGTACATGTATTTCTACTCAGTTTTTTGGACTTCTGTGCACCGGGGATGCATAAATTAAGCTATATTTGCCATTGCCGATCATCTCCTAAACTCTATTACAGGAAGCATCGCTTTATTTTTTTATCCCATATATCAGTATATAAGTATGTTTAGCTTATGTATAGTTGGTGATTTGTCCATGGAAATTGGTGATTTTTATTTTCTGCATCTGTTTCGATCTTTTTAAAGCACATGAGGTAAATTGGTGATTTATTCTGTTAATGTAGAACCAATTTCAGCAAATGAATTTTCTTTTTTACCAGTTAGCGGCAGTCTGCGATATATCCAGAAAGATTGTTATGCTTGTTTTGTCTATGTCTTATATCCTAACATCCATTTCTATGATGATCAGTACAGCTGAACTTGTTAAGAACCTTTACAATGATCATGTTAGTGACTTAACTTCCTTTTTTTTGTGAGGAAACTTTAGACAAGTTGAAACCGAGCATCAAATAGTTTTACTTACAGCAACCAAGAGCTACCCAAGGTCCCAGGACCTGATCAGGTGCAGGTTGTGTCGCCCGGCTAAATAAGACACCAACTTTGGCCTTTTGATCCTCTTGTGTGCTTTATTTCCATTGATAATTCGAGTTAGAGTTCACAGAAGTCAAGAACAAGCTCACCATCCTTTATTTTTTAGGGTAAATGTTTTGTAAGTAGTGACATCCTGGTTCTGCATTCAATCTACAATCATCTGTTCATTAAGTTCAGTTCTGCGAGATGCTCCTGTGCTATCATGTTGAATGTAGGAGGTACAATCTGCTTGATTACCAACATACTTTTCCAAGCTTAATTTAGGTTGACTGAACAGCAATAATTGTTGAAACATATCCTTTAAAAAAACTTTGAAAACATTAATATTTTATCCTAAAAAAATCTGAATACTGTTATGTATGTACATATAGAGTTATAATATGTATGTTTGTAGAAAAGAAGACCGGATGAATCAAAATTGGTTACTTGTTGTTTCTTTGAACCAAAAATTTCTCTTTCTTTTCGTAGCCTAGAAATTTGTGCATTGTCTAAAGAATTTTTTACAGACACGAAGAACAGCTAGAAATTTGTGCTTTTACTTTGATGCATAACAAATTCAATTGAGAAAAGGATGTTATATAATAGAGCAAACTATAATGTTAATTCAATAATTATCACCTAAAGGTCAGGTATTGCAGCTGATGTATAACTCAACCGTTCATTTTTGTTGTTGTTATAGATTCATTGTTCTTGAACTTCCAAAGAACCAATGAACTTTGTTCTGAACTTATGACATATGTTAGGGGGATAATACAGTAGGCATGCTGTCAAATACTCGAATTTTTTAGTTCTTGGTCCCAAAAATTCGAATTCAAAATTTGAAATAAAATTTCGTCCGACATTTGCTCGGAATTTCGCGGTAACTGTGGTATCCGCCTTTCCCAGTCACCCACGAGAAAAATGACCTCCTCGGTAACCAAAATCTTGGTCAGTACTGGCCATCTACTTCAACGTGTTTCATGGACCTTGATCATTCGTGCATCTATGAAACCTATCAAGTGTTAGTTTCCACACTGTTTGACATATCAGTTGGGTTCTGTAAGAACCAGGGTTAAAAAAAAGGTTGCCATGACTTCCAAGTGGCAGCCTGATAGTGACACATGCATATATACACTATGTGATATGTAATTTCCTATTCTCATGAGGATTCTATAAAATAGTAGCGCGTAGCTTCTCCTTAATCTAAATTAACAGCACTTCATAATGTGCCATTTGTAAGCTACGAGGTCCCTACCACCACTGTAATGTCCGGCCGGGCGGCTGGCTGGCTCATCCCAAGGTTTTATATCCTCTGCACCAGGGAAGCACCACCCATACCGAAGCCAAAGCCACTATGAAACTCCACCCCGTAGGCCTCTTCCTGCTCTCTTGCACCTGTCTGCTACTATGTGCTGCCGCGCCGGTGACGGTGATGGTGAGAGCAGGCATCCGGCGTGAAGCTGAAGCGCTAGTGAATTGGAAGGCTAGCTTGGTCAGTGCGGATGACTCCCTTGGATCATGGTCGTTGGCCAACTCCACCAGCCTTTGCAAGTGGACGCACATCACTTGCAACTCGGCTGGGCACATGACAGGGCTCCATTTTATGGAGGCAAGTTTGAACGGCACACTTGACAGGTTCGACTTCTCGGCTTTTCCCCACCTGAAGAATCTCACCTTGAGCAGCAATGGTCTATATGGTACAATTCCAGCAGGGATTGGCAACCTGACGAGCTTGGCCCGGTTGTATATCTTCAATAATCCGTCTTTGAGGGGTGCCATTCCGCGCAGCATTGGACAGCTGAAGCACCTTTCCGCACTGTATCTATTATACCTGGGGCTCGATAGCAATCTACCTCAAGAGATTGGTAACTTGACGACCTTGGAGGAGCTCCATCTTTACTCGGTTACTTTGACCGGGTCAATTCCACCAACAATTGGGGTGCTCGTGAAGCTCCGCGTGCTCAGCATGCAAGGGAACAATCTGACAGGGAGCATCCCACTTGAGATTGGAAACATGACACAACTAAACATCATGAGCTTATGGTCTAACTATTTACAAGGGCAGCTACCAGGTACCATCTCTAATTTGGTGTCACTCCAGGAATTGTCTCTGTCAGAAAACCAGCTCGGAGGCCACATCGTCCCTGAGCTTGGGAATAGCAGCCTCCTGGAGACAGTTGATATTGAAATGAACAACTTCTCCGGGCTGTTCCCGTCATCCATTTGTGTAGGAGGACGACTGAGTATTGTCAGTGCTAGGTCCAATGGATTCACGGGCATTCACCACCAGACCTTCCGAAACTGCACATCCCTGATGTTTGTTGACTTCACGGCAACCAACATTGTTGCAGATATAAAGGACTGTGTTGGCGAGCATCCATGGGAGCTTCGCATGATGACTTTGGGTCAAAATCACTTGTATGGCACGCTTCTCACAGATGGGGGCAAGGTATTCATTTGTAACTCTACTTATTTAAGCTTCCTAGACCTATCAAACAATTTATTAGATGGAGGTCTCCCCAAGTGTTTGTGGGACATGCCAAGTTTGGGATACATGGATCTTTCTAGCAATTCTTTCAGTGGTGTAGTTCCCTTTTGGAAGACTTGCAACAATAATCTTGTATGTTTACGCCTAGCCAATAACCATTTCGAAGGAACCTTTCCTTTGGGTCTTAGGAAATGCAAAAACCTTATCACTCTAGATCTTGGAGGCAATAATTTCTCTGGTAGAATACCTTCTTGGGTAAGCAAGAGCTTGCCAAATCTCATTGTTCTTCGATTATAATCAAATATGTTTGATGGAATCATACCCCACCAGATATTAAAATTCCAGCAACTCCATGTATTGGACTTGTCAAAAAATAATCTCATTGGACCCATTCCAGACAATTTTGCCAATTTTACTGGCATGGTACATAATGCAGGAGACATTGTCTCGGACAATAATCTAAGATTGGAGATAATTAGTGGGCAGATTCAAATAGTTTGGAAAGGTGTGGATCATGGTTTCCCAATCCTAATGGTAGGTATTGTGGGTATCGACTTATCTGGCAACTCTCTTTCACAAGAGATTCCAAATGGGCTCACAACCCTTCTTGGACTGAGGTATCTGAACTTATCAGGAAATCATTTGTTAGGCTGCATTCCCGAAGACATTGGCAATCTAGTACTGCTGGAATCCTTGGACCTTTCTCTGAACCGACTCTCGGGAGAAATTCCTCCAAGCTTTGCAGGTTTGAAGAGCATAACCGCTCTGAACCTCTCGAGTAATAATTTATCGGGGTTGATACCTATGAGCGACCAGCTGCGAACGCTCCCAGATCCATCCATATACAGCAACAATCCAGGGTTATATGGTTTCCCCTTGGAGGGCTGTGTAGACTCGTCGACATCGACGCAAAGCGGAATGAGCCAGGCTGAAGACAGCAGGGAGGCATTGTGGCTGTATTGCTTTGTGGCTGCTGGGTTCATCTTTGGGTTCTGGCTGTACTGCGGCATGTTCTGGTTTTACAGCGAGACCTGGAGGTGTGCATTCTATCAGTATGTCGACAACATGCAAGGGAAGGTAACCAAGAAGATGTATAGCTGCATGTCATACTTCCAGGCCAAGGTCCATGAATGAGCAAAGTGCATCACGTGGTGTTGAAGTAAGCTGTGTGCAGGCATATGCGCCCATTATTGAGCATTTCTGTAGTACTTGTCTTCCATTGTTGTAAAACAATACTGACTAGGAAGTTCTGTGTATTTGCTAGTACTTTGATGTGCATGTTATTCAGTTTTTGGGCGCTAGACGTGCAAATTACAGATGAATCAGTGCAACATTTACTTTCTGATTGTGTGGTAAGTATATTTGGATGGAAGTAAATGGGTTCTTTAGAATAAACAAAAAAATAGCTGTAAAATGGTTAGCGATTTTGGAACGGAAAGGATGTTCTAAGAATTTTTGTGGATTATTGTTTGGTTTCGTGCGAAATTGTTGTGGAACTCCCTTGATCCAAACAATCCTAGATTTATAAAGCTTCACAATACTTTATAGAGATACTTTATACCATATTTCTGCACAAACGTAGAAAAACCTCATTATATGAATAAAAATATAAGGAATTCCTCATTGGTGAAAATGCCTGGATTCTGAAACCGTTCACATTTTTTTCAGCTGATTTGTGTTCTGGACGATGCTTTGCAAGTAGTGAGAGTGTTTGACTTGTCTTTCATTGTTCCCAAGTAAAGATTAGTGACTTTGTGGTTTTTCAGAAATCAAAACAAATATGCTAGTTCTTCACTTCTCAGACAGACTTGAAGAAGCTTAAGAGGAATCCACCATTAGTGAAAATGCCAAGTGTTAGCGAGCTTTTAGACACTCATCCTTTAGTCGGCGTGCTTCCCGCTGTTGTACGCGCTCCTTTGTTGCACAACACAAAAGAAACAGTAAAAGTACATGTCACAACTTATGGAAGGCTCAATGGCAACTGGTGTATGGATTGTTTCCACTGGACTAGTAATGGTATGTTTCTGCTTCAAGACCACTATATTATATTTTGTTGGAGTATACTAGCAAAGTGCCCATGTGTTGCAACGCGAGAAAAAAATGACATGTTGCGGAGATGAGGTTGTGCAAGGTGATGCCTGCCACCTCGTACTCGGACGCGATTTTATCATGTAGCCATACACCAGACATCACAGTGTAAGTGAGCACGAGGTTCGAGTGCTAGCCTGCTAGGCATGGATACCGGATAAAACATCCGGAAATCCTTTCTTGCTCACTTTTGTGGTTTGCAGAGCTTTTCGCTCGTGTCATTGGATCCCTTCTCCAGCTGGGAAACCAGTTACTGCATCCAACCCCTCCTGGATATGTGCATGTTATCCATTGTGTCTTTCTCGCTTCCATATCGGAGTTCACCAGAGTCTTTGTTAACGGCGGCTGGCTCGCCAGTTATCCTATTGTTTTGATCAACAATAGAATGAAAAACTGAAGGGAGCAAACTCGCAACACGAGAAGAAGTTTAACTTATCAGATAAAATAGCATCATGATCACTTGGGCATTGGTAACTCTTTCTTTTCTGACAACTCATATGACTTGCCCTGGCATTGAAGGAGAACATGAACCCATCCGTTTATGTACAAAATAAGCATCATCCTATTTTAGTCCCATTAGCCTGCAACAAAATCTACTGGAATATTCATATCAAAAGGAGAGGAGGATATCTTCCGAACTGCAATAAAAAGGTACACACTAGAAACCGGCATCAAATTATATATTGCCAGGGAAGTGGTCTTCGGAGATCTTCAGCAGCAACGCACTCCTCACCTCTCTATATTGACGTGAACACCCCATATAGATACACCAAGCAAACAACCATCACAGTTCACATACACTGATTTCTACTCATCCCCCAAAAAAAATCTTAAAAAGTTGAGGAGGCAATCCACGTGCGGTTCAGACATGAATATGCACCAGTTTTTGGCTCTTGTGGGCGTAAAGGAGTCGAAACTTAATGCAACATAGCGAATACTGTAGCATTTTGCTTGCGCTAAAGCACCACGTCTCTAAGGCCCTGTTTGGTTCATAAGTCCTAGCCCAACAACTTGCTGGTACAACATCATCATATTTCTAATGATTTTCTAGTCAGCTTGCTGGTACAACAACTCGCTTAGTATAAAAACTGATGAAATTTCATTTTAATGGGCGAGGTGGGACTATTAAATTGTGGACGAACCATAGATTTTCACACACTCGGGAATGAACCCTGTTGGCATGATGCTCCGGATGTGTAGTAGTTGGTTGTGAGTTCAATTGACGCTCATGATTAACTATTTTTTTAGCCGATTCAAGGACCATAGGAGACCAGGCGGTGGCAAGAGGCAGCCCTTGCTGAGAGGTCCCTTTGCCGAGTGTTTTCTCCGGCACACATAGGAAACTAAGGGCTTGTTTGCTGAGTGCTTGATGAAATACACTTAACAAACAACCTTTTTCCCATGATCGATCGTGTAGTCAGGGTGAAATATTAGTATTGTAGCACTTGTGTACTCCTGAGTATTTTCCAACGAATTCCACAATATATGATGCTTTGTTATGTACAAAAATATTCCTAAGATTTTGGATGGAAAGTCAAATTATGGAAGAAAATCCTGCACCATAAAAGGAACCAACGAAAAAGAGAAATTGGAAAAACAAAAGAAATGAAGAAGACGGAAAATGCGTAACTACCAATTTCCTTTCCCGCAAAAAAGATTCCATTTCTTCTTATTCAAGAAACACGGTGTGGGATAAATGAATCACATTCCAGGCACCTTGCTGAACAAACCCTACCTAAACCCTATCTTCTATGCTGCCACTTTGCTCCATGGCCCTCCTCGCCGCCGGCCACCGTGCCTCTGTTGTCATCCGCCCAAGGGCCGCGGCTGTGACGTTCTCCTCGACCAAGCGGAGCTCCTCCTCCTTCTCCCGAAAGCTTCAGGAGAGGACCAGAAGATAGATGTGAGGCCCACAAGCCTAGGAGGCATGACCTACCCCCTGGTCGTGGCATTCAGGCTTGTGGGGCCATGCAGCTCCGTTTGACCTAATTTCCGGCCTATAAATTCACATATATGCCAAAACCCTTGGAGCGAGACCAGAAATAATTGTATCGCTACTACAAGGCTCTGTTCCGAAGCGATCCAATCTGGATGCCTTTTTCGGCACTCTACAGGAGGGGGAACCCATCCACAGAGGCATCTTCGTCAAACTTGCTGCCTTCATGGTGACGTGCGAGTAGTTCATCCTCGGGGTTGAGGGTTTTACCAGTAGTTATGTGTTTGATCTCTCTCTCATGTTCTTGATGTATTCTGATCAAAGTTTAAAATCGCGGGCGAATCTAAGCGATCGCGCCGCTATCGCGGATCTGGAACCTCCTCGCGATTTGCTGCCTTCCCAAAATCGCGGGAGATCGCGTCGCTATCGTGGGCGATTGCGCCGTTTCTTCCTTACCTGTCGCGGCAAAAATTCTGGCCGCGATTCCCTCTCGCCCGCGATCTTAAACTTTGATTCTGATGTTGATTGTATCATGAGCTTTATTAATAATTGGATCTTATGATGTTCATCTCCCTCTATTCTTTTTGTGGTGAATTGAGTCTTGATCTTTGAAGTTTCTTTATGTTGAATTGAGTATTTTGGATTTGAGATCACTAGATGTGTGTCTAGTAATTAACTTGTGGATACCGCCCTGACAATGAGGTAATCTAGGCATAAAGGTTGAACGATATGTATGATATGATGTTGTCGTAGTACGATCTCCGCGACTATTCGTGAAACTTTGGGGGTGGTTCAATATATTGATTGGAAAGGCAACTTTAAGGTGGTTTGCTACCTACGCATTTCATCATATTTTCTCCGATAGAATAGAAACTTCGAAGTGATTCTTTGTGGCACCTTGAGGTATTATCATGTGGTTTAGTTATGTTAGTGATGTCGAGAGATTGCACTAGTGAAAATATGAATCCTATGACTTATTTTCAAGTATTGAGACACCGATTTTACTCACTTTCATTACCTGCTACCTTGCTATTTTTGTTTATAAAAGCTATTTCTACTATTCATATATTACATATATATCACCCTCTCTTCGCTGAAGTCGTGCACTTATACAATTGACAACTGTATTGGGTGTATTGAAGATACAAGATATTTGATTGCGGAGTTGTTTGAGAGAGAACCACCTCCTTCCTACACCTCTCGCGGATTGGTAAATCTTAGGTCATCCATTTGAGAAAAATTTACTACTGTTCTACAAAACTCTCCACTCTACTCTTGAGTCCTCAACAAAGTCTACAAGAAGAAAGTTGCGCAATAGACATTAAGCTTCTTCATGATTACATTGAATGCATTCTAACCATTTATTATGTGTGAATTTGAATTAAAATGTAAATTTCCAAACTTGTGGATTTGAAAGTATGATGAATGACATGTGTTTGATACAAAGAAATTGAGTTGTTTTTTATGGCAATTGGTTTTGTACATGTATGTATTCACTAGTGGAGAGAGAAATAGCAAAAAACAAATTATATGGATAGGTTTATAGAGGGACTGCTGCAGCTGCACACCTTTCTCTTTCAATAAATTTTAGACCTGAATATCTAGTGAGCGTCACATTTTTTGGCATGAAAGATCAAACATCTTTTATGGAAAATTATATTTGTTGAGGGTGACAAGTTTAATTAGCGAGGCAAGTCCGTCTCAGTTTATTGTTTTGCCAAAAAATCCGACTCAGTTTATTGTTTTGCCAAAAAATCCGTCTCAGTTTAGGCATGAAAAATCAAACGTTTTGCAAAACAATTACCATCTCTAAATATCTGACATCAGATGTCTAGCATTTCTGTAAAAATATTAGAGGAGCCTCTAAACACACTTATTGGGAGAGTTTTTTCTAGAACACGCTGGAGATGCTCTAAACTCCTTGAAAATACTTTTTTTATTAAAAAAACCATCTGAAAAAACTCTTTCCTGTTGATGAAGGAACACTCCTCTGGCCCCTCCGCCGCTGCGCTCCGCGCCAAGTCCGACTCCCTCCGCGCCGCCACGCACGACGGCGAGATCGTCGGCGTCCTCAACTCCGTGATCCAGTCCCACCACCGCGACCTGGTACGTCCGTCCGCCGCCCATCGAGTTCCCCAATCTGCTGGTACTCCAGGAGGGGCGGTTTCTAGGTGATTTTGGTATCCGATTCGTTTATTCTTCCGGTCCTGCTTATAAACTAAGGGTCAGACTATATCACATCTAGTCTATATCACATCTAAGTTGACATAAACACTCTTTGTGATCTTGTTTGTTTGTTTGTTTGTTGGTCTCGAATTGTTTGTTTGTCGAGATCTCGTGTTAGTAGGAAGCGACGGAGACTCGTTTGGTGCTCACGCCCTTCCCTAGCGGGCTGTGGCCCATTGGCAGCTAGGTTGTTATAGGTTTTTTGCTACAGATTTTTTGCTAGGCCGCGTTTTAGAATGCTACAGGTCGCTAGGTCGCTAGGTCGCACAGGTTCTTCTTTTGAGGGAAGTCTACACATGCATTGCTAGGTAGCTACAGGTTGCTTGCTAGCTCATTTTTTTTGCGGGCGTTGTTAGCTCTTTTTTCCTCACGAACATCTAGAAAAGTTTGCGAATTTTAAAACATTGACTGTTGACCAACAAACGTTGACTTTAAAAAACCATAAATTTGCAAAGTGTTCATTAAAATAAAAATATAATGAATTTTAAAAAGTTCATAATTTTTTCAAAAGTTCACAACTTGAGAAGGTTCGTAATTTGAAAAAAGTTCACAAAAATAGTTCTTAAAAATTAACGAATTTGAAAAAAGTCATGACTTGGCAAATGACGTAATTTGAGGGGAAAAGTGAAAATTAAAAATTTCATGAATTTAAAAATGTTAACATTTTTTGGAAAAAGAGTTCACAATAGGGTTCAAGAAATTTGTAAAAATTTCATGAATTAAAAAAAACAAAATTGGAAAAAGTTCATGCAACTGAAAAAAGATGAAAAGAAAGGGAAAAAATGAGGAAGCTGATCAAACCCGTGCCGAAAAAACTGCCCGAAAATAATTACTCTGTTTGTGAGAGCATTCAACTCTGTGAAGATGACAGCAAGAAAAATCATGGCATTATATCATTTCATTCATATAATGCTCCACTCCCTTACGCAGAGGAATATGTACTAATATGAGGGTGCCGTTGAGGAAGGAAAACAACAAGAAGGAAATGATGATGGTCCTGGACAACTCTAGGGGGGAGGCAGGTTGTTGGCTCAAGATTCTACTACAAAAATCAAAGTAGATTCAAGAAACACAAACAATGTTCTATGCATCTTCTAGTCTGATGGGCACTTAGGGGAACAATATGATCTCTACGGTGACTGTCTTAGTTTTGACACGACTTACAAAACAAACAAATACAATCTCCCCTTCTCTCCCTTAATTTGTTGGAATAATTGGTCATGGTCAGAATTGCTTGTTTGCATGTGCAAGAGTTTAAAATGAAAGTATTGTTGGAAAATCATGTAGCAAAATCGCCCTTGGTGCTCTGATTGCTTGGCCATTGCTTTTCTCTCTACAACAACGACGCGGTTGACCTCTCCTGTATTTTAGTTTGAAAATAAAGGACAACAAAAAAAGCATGAGTGTCGCATATTTCTGTAGGCTTCGTGCCCACGTCTCACTGCAACAGCACCGTTGAAAAAAAATCGAATTTGTGCTCCCAATTAGTCAGCAAACATAATTTGTGGCCTGAAATTCCTACAACAGGCCAGTTGCATCCTCCCTTGTCAGGAAAACCTATGGGCCGGTTGCGAGTCGAGGGTGTGGCTTGCTACTCGAATGAAAACAACTACACACCCAATTTGCGAGTCGAGTGGGGACACATAAATGTGATAACAACAACAAAAAATGGGCCCCAGTTGCGAGTCAAGGGTGGACATGCAACTGTGATAACAACAACAACAACAACAACAACAACAACAAAATGGGCGCAATTGCGAGTTGAGGGTAAACTTGCAACTGGGACAAAAATAACTACGGGGACCTATTGCGAGTCGACGATAATTTTGATCGGTTGAGGGTGGGCTTGAAATTGGGAAGAAAACAACCACAGAGGCCCAGTTATGATAGACTAGCATGGGCTTGCAACTCGCAGTAGAAAATACAACAAACAATTATGTGCTCAGCTGCATGTCGAGGGTGGACTTGCAACTGGGACGCAAACAATTATGAGCCCAGTTGCGAGTCAAGGGTAAGATTGCAACTAATGAAACACAACTACATGCTTGGTTGCGAGTCGACGATGGACTTGTAACTGAGATAAAAACAACTACGTGGTTCAGCTGCGGGTCGAGGCTAGTCTTGCAACTAGGATGAAAATAACTATGGGGCTAGTTGTGGGTCGATGCTGAGCTTGCAAGTGGGACACAACACCTATAGGGCAGGTTGCGGAGTTGGGGTGTGGACTTGCAACCGAGACAAAAAGAAAACTACGAGGGTAGTAGTATGACTATGATGGGCTTGCAGCTAACACAAAACAAAGAAAAAACTATGGGCCTTGTTGTGAGTCGAGGGTGGACTTACAACTAGGGAAAAACAACAACGAACCTAGGTGTGAGTCGAGGGTGGAATTGTAACTGGGACAACATAAGAACTACGAGCGCAATTCCGAGTCGAGTGTGGACTTGCAACTGAGATGAAAAACATATTACCGAACCAGTTGCGAGACGTGGGTGAGCTTGCAACTAGGACAAAACACAGCCCTCAGTTGCGAGTGGAGGGGTGGCTTACAACTCAGATAACTATGAGTTCAGTTGCGTGTCAAGTGTGGACTTGCAACTGGGACAACTACGAAACTATGAGCCCAGTAGTGACTCAAGGGTCAAGTTGCAACCGGAATTAAACAAGTTATATGGTTACAATTGCAAGTCAAGGGTGAACTTACAACTGGGACAAAAAAACAAAACACATGCACCCGTTACGAGTCGAGGGGTGGACATGCAACTCGGACAACTATGAGCTAGTTGCGAGTCGAGGATGGACTTGCAACTGGGACAACTACAAAACTACGAACCCAGTTGTGAGTCAAGGGTGGACTTGCAACTGGGACAACATAAAAACTTTGGGCACAGTTGCGAGTAGAGTGTCGACTTGCAACTAAGATAAAAACATACTACCGACCCCGTTGTGAGTCGATGGTGAACTTGCAACTAGGACGAAAATACATGCTCTAGTTGCAAGTCAAGGGGTGGCTTGCAACTCAGACAACTATGAGTTTAGTTGCTAGTCAAATGTGGACTTGTAACTCAGACAACTAAGGAACTACGAACCCAGTTACGACTCAAGGGTCGACTTGCAACTAGGATGAAACATGTTATGGGTCTAGTTGTGTGTCAAGGATGGACTTGCAACTGGGATGAAAAATAGAACACATGCACTAGTTGCGATTTGCGGGTGGACAACTACGAGCCCAATTGCGAGTCGAGGATGGACTTGCAACTGGAACAACTATAAAATTATGAGCCTAGTCGTGATTCAAGGTTCGACTTGCAACTAGGATGAAACAAACTACAGGACGAGTTACGAATCAATGGTGGACCTACAACTGGCAAAAAAGTCAACCCTTAGTTGTAAGAAATGGTGGACTTACAATTGACATGAAAAAGTGATACTCGGTTGCAACTTGAGGATGAACTTGCAGCAAATGCAAAAAAGTAAGGACCAGTTACAATTCAAAAGAAACATCGTGACCAGTGGCAAGTCGAGGGTGGACATACAACTAGAGACAAAAAATGCAAGTTGTGAGTTGAGGATGGACTTACAACTGGGACAACTAAAAACTATGAGACCAGTTGTGAGTCAAGGTTCGACTTACAACTGGGATAAAAGAAGCTACAGACCTAATTGTGAGTCAAGGATGGACTTGCAACTAGGATGAAAGACAAAAACACAGGCCTAGTTGCGAGTCAAGGGCGGGTTTGCAACTGGGATAAAAAAATACAGGCCTAGTTGCGAGTCGAGGGTGCACCTGTAACTGAGACAAGTATATAAAACTATGATACGAGTTGTGAGTTGAGGTTGGACTTGCAACTGGGATGAAAAACAAACACATCCCAGTTGCGATTCGAGGGTAGACTTGCAACTGGGGAATCAACAAACTATGGGACCAGTTGCGAGTCGAGGGTGGACTTGCAACTGGGACAACAACAAATTATGATCCCAGTTGCGAGTCGAGGATGGACTTGCAATTAAGACAACTATGAAACAGATGACCCAATTGTGTCAACTTGCAACTAGGATGAAACAAACTACGGTCCCAGTTGCGAGTCAAGGGTGGACTTGCAACTGGGATGAAAAACAAAACAAGTGCCTAGTTGCAGGTCGAGGGTCAGCTTGCAATTGGGAGAAGTAATGAACCCAATTGGCGAGTTAAAGACGGATTTGCAATTGGGACAACTACGAAACTACAAGCCCAGTTGTGAGTCAAGGGTCGACTTGCAACTAGGATGAAACAAACTACAATTCAAGTTGCAAGTCAATTGTGGACTTGCAAGTGAGATGAAAGACAAAACACAGGCCCAGTTGCGAGTCAAAAGGTGGGCTTGCAACTCGGAGGGGTGGGCTTGCACCTGGGACGACTACGAGCCCAATTGCGAGTCAAGAGTGGACATGCAACTGAGACAACTACGAAACTACGAGGCCAGTTGCGAGTTAAGGGACGATTGGCAACTCAAATGAAACAAGCTATGAGCCAGTTGCAATCAAAAGGTAGACTTGCAACTGGGAATAAAAGCAAAACACATGCTCTAGTTGTGAGTAGAGGGTGGGCTTGCAACTTGGACAACTATGAGTCCAGTTATGAGTCTAGGGGGACTTGGAACTGGGACAACTACGAAATTACGAGCCAGTTGCGAGTCAAGGGTCGACTTGCAACTGGGATGAAACAAGCTATGTGCCCAGTTGCGAGTCAAGGCTGGACTTGCAACTGGGATGAAAAATAAAAACACATGCTCCAGTTGTGGGTCGGGAGTGGGCTTGCAAGTCTGACAATTACGAGCCTAATTGCGAGTCAAGGGTCGACTTGCAACTAGGATGAGGCAAACTACATGCCAAGTTGCGTG